CCCGTGGATTATACTGCTCCCGAATCTGTTGCTTGATGTCTGTTTTTTGTTTTTCTGTTTTGAAAAAATAGCAGCCAGTGCTGCTCTGGCCACATTCTCTGTCTCCTCTTATGGGACTCTACTCACACAAATCAGACTTTTTTCACCATATCTCATATATCTCTTACACTATTTTCTGTGTATAGCATCCTTTTGCTCTGTTTTTTAGTTTGGTGATTTTATTTGGAACTTTCTTCCACTTTGCAGATTCTCTTTTCAGCTGTGCTTATCTGTTTTTAGGTTTTTCATTTTAGTTATTGCATATTTTTTTATTTGTAGAATTTCTGTTGGGTTCTGATTAGAATAACTTATTAATTTAGTGACACTTAATGTAGGAATAATAAATTAATAAATAATGCTTTTTTGCACTCCCATTTTATGAAAAAGTTCCTTTTACTCTCTTCAAATGCATCTTCACAACCAATATTTGTGTTTACTAGGCTAGAGCCATTTTTTAGTCACCTTACAACTGTGTGGAACACATCTTTATTTACAGCCAAATTGTTTGAGATTTGGTGCTTTTGTATTTTTGATACTGCCACTGGGTTATATCTCATTTATAAGTACTTCCTTATATGTCATTAGAACATTTGGCTTTTTTCCTACCACTCTGTAGGGAAGTAGTTGTAATCACCATACTTTCTGTATTGTTCTTGTAAGTGGTCTTTAAGTGGCTCTGCGAAGGGATTTTTAAAGGCTTGTTCACAATGATGTCCAGCAGTTGTAATCGTTAGGTTGTACCCTTGAATAAGTAACCTACGATGAATTTTTGTCTTCACTCCTTTAAAAATATTTTTTATTTTGGAAATGTCAGACATATCCAAAAGTAGAGAGAACAGTCTGAGAAACTCCCAAGTACCAATACTTCGCTTTAAAACTAAGTCAGCTCATTGCTAATCTTGCTTCTTCTACATCCCACCCACCCCAGATCACTTTGAAGGATATTGCAGATGTCATATCACTATTATAAATATTATAGTGTATCTCTCAAAGTTAAGAATTCTTTTAAAAATATAACCTCAGTATTATTATACCTCATTCTTTGAACGATAATTTTTAAATACTCATTTGATCCTTTTGTAGAGCTTTCACTTCTCTGCTGAAATTTTCTATCTTGTCATTTAATTTCTTGAATACACTTCTTATAATCAAAAGTTTCTGATAGTAACAAATATCTCGCGTCCTGTGAGTCCGTTTTTATTATCTCCAATTTTTTCCCTCTTGGCTGCCAGTTTATTTTTGTAAGCCTTATTTGTGCTTTGTTTTGTTTTTTGCTTTTTTATCGAGTAGTGGACAGCATAGATAAAGAACTGTAGGAACAGGTCCCTTGGAGAAAGGGGCTTTACTTTTTCTTCTGGTGGCCGTCAGGCTGGAGCAGATCACCACGATCCAGTCAGAATGCAGTGTGTGTGAGGCCTGGTCTATTTTGGGATGCCGAGGCAGAAGGATGACCTGAGTCCAGGAGGTATAGGCCGCGGTGAGCTGTGATTGTGCCATTGCTTTCCAGCCTTGGGGGCAGAGTAAGACATTGACTCAAAAAAAAAAAAAAAAAAAAAGTCCTGAGGTATTTACCAGTCCCCTTAAGTCGTCCCTGAACTTCAGTTTTTCTCTCTGTCACCATGAGACCTCCTGATTGCTTTGCTGTCCAGGGCCTCAGACGCAGCTTTTGACTTTGAAGCCAGCAGTCCCCTTGAGGGGAAAACCTGCAGATGCTGGACTCAGGCATCTTGCTTTCTTCTTTTGCATCTTGAAAGCCTCCCTCTTCCAATACCAGACCTCATTATCTTGACAGCTCTCTACTTCCTTACAAAAATTTGTAAAATGTATGTTATCTGATTTCTCTTATTGTAACCAGAGGAAAATTAGTATAAAACAACCTGGAAGATCATTGCCAGAGTAAAACTGTCTTTCAGAACTTCCTGAAGTTGATATTCATGCTCTTGATATATTTGACATTTTTTCTTGTTAAAAAGTTTATGTTGATACATATATTATCTCAAAATTCCTTCTGTTTCTATATTGCCACTATGTTAGTCAAAATAAATTCTCAAGACTGTTGGTTTTCAGTAGATATAATAATTGAAATCTTTTATTTTAAAATCAACATCAGACATACAAAAATCAATCTCTTTAGTATACTTTTTATTTTACTACTTTTAGGTTGACTGTCTATTTTCTTGACCTTGCTTCCCTACTTAAAACTAATGGCTATTGTCCCCCACAAAACGGGTCTTAGTCTTACATAGTGACTATTTGGTAAATATATCCAGTGTATCATGGACTTTGGCGTTTACAAATATTAAAAATTGAAATGTCTTGAGCAGCAGTAGTATATCACTAGAAGAGTCTCCATCATTTAAGATTTTTAAAATAAGTATTGTTGTATAAATACATTATTGGAAGAATACAAATTCCCCAAGGAGACTAATTTGATATACTGTATTTCATCAGTTTTAAAATCCAAAGTTTATCACATTTGTTATAGCTTTGAAATTGTGCCGCCTTTTATAAAAAATAAGAAAACTTTGTGTCATAGTTTAATTTTACATAAGTTCTTTCTTAGTGTCTCATAAAATAATGGCCTAGATTTTTGTGTAGTGGCAGTCACCTTTCAAATTTTTAGTCTCCTTTTGTTTTCATTGGAGAGATGTCTTAATGTTACACTAACACCCTCTGCTGCTCAGTGGGAAAAATGCTTTTAAAAAAATAAAAAGTCTTCATTTTAATGACCAGTTGCTCAAGTAGGCCAGCTGAATAAAAATATTCTGTGATCATTAAGATCTGGCCATGCTGAAGCCTAGATTAAGAGAGGGCGGGTGGGAGGCAGCCTGGAGAAAGTGCCCCGCTGCAAAATCTTGCCAATGTTAAGATTCTGAAGGTCTTTTTAATCTTACTAATCTCATGAGGATATAACATTTTCTCATGAAGAGGTAAATTGTATACACGACTTTATAAGGCTATTAAAATTAGTGATGCCACAATAATATATTACATACATCATTATTATGATAGCATGTATGACATTAACCATGAACTAACCTTAATCATCAAACAAATTTTCTTGTCACAAGTAGAACTGTGTTTAGAACAGGTAGAGAATTATAATAGCTGTCTGTAGAATAAATAGAAAACTATGTAGCTACATGGAATTGCAGGTCAAAGATAGTCAGCTGTAACACCATTAGTGTAGTTAACTTGCTTCTACACTTAACCCTTGTATCATTTTGAAACTGAAAGCACATCATGTAAAAGTAATACTTAACGTACACTGTGGATCTTCACGTTGCCCAGAGTCAAATTCTTGAGTGTAAAATCCACTCATGCCAAGGGTCTACTATACTCAAAGAATAATCATTATTGGTATAAAACACATTTTTAGATCTGGGGAAAAAAGACAAAGCAGTGTCTAAACACTTATAATAACTCTATTAAATGCTCAAGTAACGTGGCAGTCCGTCCATCCTGTTTTCTGTAAATCCTCTTTGAACCTAACCCAAGTGACTGTTTAAACATGATTTATTTTAGTTATTCCTTAGGTACTTTAAGATAAGTTATCCTGTTTGAGCACTGTTGTTTTCTTCTTATTCTTTGTCTTGGTCTTGAGGGGTGGGAAGAAGGGAGAATTTTCAGGGGGAAATGATACATTAAAAGGATTTTGGTTTGTAAATTAACTTTCTGTTACTTGTCAATTACATGGGCAGTTAATCCTCTTAGAAGTACTAAATGTTCCAGTAACATTTATCATATGCCATGATAGACCATAGTACTAAAACCTGATGGATATGACAAATTTGGAGACTTATTTTTCTTTAACAAGGCAGCTTGCACATTTTTTCTGGAGTGATAAGGTGGTTATAAACTGCCTACTAGTATAACTGAAAAACCCTGGGCTTTGGGGTTACAAAAACATCTGGATTCAGGTTTAACTCCCACACCTTTGATATGTGACTTTTTATAAGGTACTTGAAAATATTTAAGTCTGCTATTTCTGATTTTTTTTAAATCAGTGAAATGGAGATGATGATAACCTTACAAAGTTTTCATGAGGGCTAACTTAACTGAGTTAACGCACCAGGTTCAAAACTCAGAACAGCAGATCTGCAGTAAATGGTAGCAGTTTGTTTAGGTGTTTTTCCCTTTATTCACAGGTGTTTATACCAATCTTTATTATTTGGGGTGGTATTTATTGGCCATCTACATTTTAAATTTTTTTAAGGAAATACAAGTGTCAGGTTTTAAAAAATGTATTAATGAACATTTAAACCTTTATTATTTATTTATTGAATGTATACTATGCATAAAATCTCATTCTAATAAAAGAAATTTAATGCAAGGATTGTGCTATATAGCAAATTATACCTTGTTTTCATTTAATATACTGACTTACTTTACGACAGGATTTGATTTTGTATGAATCCACCTCAATTTTCTCATCCACATTAAAAAATAACAAAATTGAGGTTATTTCATTTTATCAACAGGGAAGGTGTTTGTTTGCCAGTGGCAGTCCATTTGAGCCCGTGAAACTCAGAGATGGGCGAGTCTTTATACCAGGTCAAGGAAACAATGTATATATTTTCCCAGGTAAATGCCACCATTATGCTATAGAGCAGTAGTTAATTACATTTCTTTTTAAGTTAAGATTGAAATGAGCGACAGTATTTATATAACTTTGGTACAGTGTATTCAGGGAGACTCAAGGAATTCATCAAATTCAACCTGCTCTGTTTTCCCTGAAAATCTGCTTATTTATATTGGTAAGTAAGCTTGTTTTTATTATATAAATAACATAGTACATGGCTCATACAAATGCAAAGAAACAGAATGGTATAAAGTAATTTAACCCTCTGTGTTTCTCCTTGGTACTTTGTTTTCCCACTTCTCAGAAGTGTGGTTCACTTTGAGTTTTTCTGGTGCTTACCATCCTACTTATCTCCCTTTGCTGAGTCTTCCAGCTTAACTGAACATATGAACATCCCACTGTGAAATATAAGTAATAGTGCACACATACCTTCTAATACCTAGCTGCCTCTCTCTATTGCTCTGTCTTACTACTCTTAGTTTTTTAAAGTAGTTACTTTATATAACTCACGTAAGGAGTTTTTGTTAGCAACTTAGAAGTTTTTACTAGCTTGCCACAGTGAGAAATTTTAAAAATCTGCTGTATATCTTTCTTATCTCTTGCTACTCCATCTCTCAATTTTGGTTATTAACATCCCTACATTGTAGAGAGGTTTTTTGACATTTACATTGTGTTTTGTTATCTTCTGTGCTTTGTCTACAGATTGATTCTGAATATTCAAAACTGTGATTATGCAAATATGATTAACCATCTAAGCAGAAGTGTGATTTCATAAATATACTAGAATATGCAGTTCTATGCCACTAAATTTTTGACACATGAAGTAAAATCAAGTATCAAGAATAATGAGTCCTCTACTTTCCTGCCAGCTTTCTCAGGTTTGCTCACTCTGCAGCAAACCTTCTTGCACCCCGGCTTGCTCTCTTTCTGTCCAACGTGTGCCATTCCACTCTCTGTGTCTTGTGTTTCTAGATACATCTTTGTCTAAATTTTTTTCTAAAATATGGGTGAAAACTTTCTGAGTTTTTACATATCTAAAAATGTCTTCATTTATTGATAGTGTGACTGGGTGAAGATTTGTGGAGCCAAGTCATTTTCCTCAGACCATCGAAGGCATTCTCCCATTCACTTTCAGTGGCCACTGTTGATGAGAAGTCTGATCTCAGTGATTCTCATTCCCTTATATATACTGGCTTTTTCTTCCTCAAAAATCTTTAAAATTTTCTCTTTAGATTTCTAAAAGGTTACTGGAACATATGTGTGTTTTTTCTCAAGCCTTTTTTCTTTTTATTATGGAAAATTTCAAACATATGCAGAAGTAGAATAATTGAATAAAGTCTCACATTCTAATCTTCCATCACTCGGCAGCTACCAACATGTAGCCAGTCTTATTTAATCTATACTCCCTTCTGCCCACCTGGCCTTCATGGAGTTATGTTAAGGCAAATCAGAGACATCACATAATTTCGTCCCTTACTACTTCAACATGTGTTTCCAAAAAAATAAAGTATCCTTATCTTTGAAAAAATAACCAGAGTTCTTGGTATCACACCTAAGGAAATTAATAGTGATTGCTGTCATTTATCATTAGTTCAGTCATTCACCAATTTATTTTTTATTCCCAATATCTTTTGTTTATTCTAGAGTTAGTCTTTTTTAATAGCTATTTTTAAAAATCGTACAGCTATTCTTTCAACTTTCTGGAGAATAATCAGGATTCTTTTAAATATTTCTTCCTTTGTGCTGTTTTTCCGTAAAGTTCTGATGATCCTCAGCTATCCATTTATCAAGGAAAGACTGTGTTGAGTAAATAGTGACTTGGTGTGAATTTTTTTTGGACTTGTTTCTTTTTTCTTCTTGTGGGCCTTTCCCTGAGTAGCTGACTCCAGACTCTAATTCGTACATGACAAGTAGACTTACAGCTTGCACTGGCGGGCGTCAGACAAGCATGTGGTGACTGTTGTCAGAACAAAGAAGGCATTCTTGTGGCCTGTGGAGAGCCTAGTCCTTCTGTGTAGTCACTTTCCTCATTTCTTTCCTTCGTGTTGTTGTGCTTGTCTCAAGGGCCTAATGTCTATAGGAGAGGCTGTCCCATCCCATCATCCCTAATCTCTTTCTAGAACTTGATAATGTTTAGAATCAGTTTGTTCTGTTCAGCATGTCTGTGGCATGAAGGCATGGAAGGCAATTGTTTCCTGCTGATTTTAACAAAGCCATGTTCACTCATATTTGACTACTAAAGAATTTGACAGTTGATTACTTTTATACAACACTTTAAAGTCTTAATTTTATTATTAACAGTTACCAGTACCATAAATATAGACATTAAAAATGTTCTGGTAGTAGAGGAAAAATATGAGCCTAAAAACAGGAGGATTGACTGAAAATCTGTTTGAAAAGCAACTAAAAGCAAGGCTCTGATAATGTTTGAATGACCTGCTTCAACAACCATAGCTACTGGATGAAATAAAAAAAAAAAAAACCTTAAAAGGGTCAAAAAGCTTATAAGATATTGACTCTAACAAAATGTTGGGGGCCAGGAGCAGTGGTTCATGTGTATAATCCCAGCACTTTGAGAGACCAAGGTGACAGGATTGGCAGAGCCTACAAGTTTGAGACCAGCCGGGGCAACTTGATGAGACCTCATCTCTACAATAAATCAAAAAATTAACCAGACATGGTGGCGCATGCCTGTAGTTCCAGCTACTCAGAAGACTTGAGGTGGAAGGTTGAGGCTGCGGTGTCCGTGAGCATGCCACTGCACTCCAGCACTCCAGCCTGGGTGACAGAGTGAGAGTCCAACTCAAAAAAAAAAAAAAAAAAAAAAAAAAAAAAAAAATATATATATATATATATATATATGAATTCTAGTTGGAAATTAGGGAGGGAACTAGTGCTCAAAGAGGTGAGTCCACATTTGAAGCCAGTTTTACAGTGGAAATGCTGACTAGAAAGAAAGTGACTGAGAGGTACAGCTGTGCTTCTCATGGAGGGAAGGAGGGAGTTGTACCTTGTTCAAACCTGGCACCTGCCAAGGATGGGATTCTGTCCCACGTGGGATAAGTAGACACATGTCCAAGTCTAGGAATGTCATTGTGAGGTTTCAGAATCACAACAAAAAGAGGAATATTAAGGCAGCCAGAGCAAAAAGATTTCCTTTAAAGGACTAACTATTAGACAGTCGGCTGACCCTTCAACCACAGTGAGATACCAAAAGGCATTGGAATTATCAATTTAAGTGGCTTATAGGAAACACTTGCCAACCTAGAATTCATTATTCAGTGAAAATACCTTTCAAAAGAGCAGGCAAAATGAAGACATTTTCAGAAAAACAAAAAATAGAATTCACCACTTGCAGACTTGTGTTAAAAGGGAGTTTTGTTCCTTAGGCAAAAAGAATTCCAGATAGAAACTCAGATGAATATGGAATACCTGTAAAGAAAGTTGTGAATACGTGGGTGGGTGCAACAAAGTGAAGATTGTTTATACAGATTGAAACAAAAATGACATGATTTTGAAAAAAATATAGAGACAGAATTAAAATGCACAACAATAAAAGTTCAGTTAAGTAGCATTAAACGGTTATGAGGGACTTGCATTGTCTGACAGGAAAGTAAATTTAAAATTAATATGAGATTTTGGTAAATTAAGGACACATGTTATAAATTTTAGTATAACTACAAGGACACCAGAAAAATTTCCCTTTCCTGGTAAGGTAATGTTAGGAAATGAAATAAAATGATAGGCCGGACTTGGTGGCTCAGCCTGTAATCCCAGCACTTTGGGAGGCCGAGGAGAGTAAACTGCCTGAGCCCACGGGTTTGAGACCAGCCCGGGCAACTTGGCAAGACCTCGTCTCTACCATAAGTCAAAAATTAGCCAGATGTGGTAGCGCGCCTATAGTTCCGGCTACTTGGAAGGCTGAGGTGAAAGGATTGCCGGAGCCCAGCACATTGAAAGTGGGGTGGCTGTGATGTGCCACTGCACTCCAGCCTGGGTGACGGAGTGAGATGAGACTCCAGCTCTAAATAACTAAATAAATAAAATGATAAAATTCCAAAAAGCAAGAAAGAAAAGGAAAAGGAATAAACCAAACAAATATAAGAAGACAGTGTACAGGCTAAATCTGCCCAGACTTTTAAGTACATTAAATGTAGATGGACCAAAAGCTCTAACACACACACACACCCAGAGGCTGGATTAAAATAAGGAAGCTATTCGCTTGTGATCTTCTTCTTAACCCTGGGTAATCTGATGACGACCCTTCCTTACTCTGGCCAAGGATCATTGGGATATTCTTTGAATAGAGTGAAACAGAATTTCAGGTTGGGAGATGCCAGGCATCGCTGAGGACAGAGGTACCAGAAAACAGGAAGGTCACAAGCCGGGTCCCTGTGATGATGCTCAGAGTGGGTAAGCCCTACCCCCACGCTCAGAGCTACCAGTAATTTCTTTTCTTTTTTTTTACTCCTTAACCCTTAAATATGAGAAGTGCTCAAAGATTGCTAGAATCTAAAGAAAGTATCTTACATGAAAGATTTTCATTAGAAAGACCAACGCAGGCAACCAGAAAAGGGCATCATAGGAAAAAACAGAGATTGTGTGAAGAGAAGGAAAGTTAAAAATTTTATCAATATCCTCATAGAGATAAAATACTATATCCTGAAAACATGACAGTATTTTATTTTCAACAAAATTAGAAAACAAAAAGAACTCTTGAAAATGAAAAGTGTGATAGTAGAAGAATTAGAAGGAAAAGTTGAGGAAGCTTAGAAAACAAAACAATCTCCTGAAAATGAAAAGTTTAATAGAAGAAAAAAATCGAGGAAGTCACCTAAAAATAGAGCAAAGGATAAGAGGTGGAAAAATAAAGAAGAAAACGAGAGAGCTAGTCCAGGAGGTACAGTATCAGAAAATAGAAATTTCAGGGAACAAGAATAGGAAAATGAAGGGAAGGAAATTATCAAAGACTTTCCGAACACGTCTCAAAACTGAAAGACTCCAGTTTTGAGATAGGAAGAGCCTACCCACTGAGTGCTAAACATGCTGGGTGACAGTCATGCACATCAAGCCACAGTATTGTGAAACTGCAGGACATTAGATACAAAATTAATGATCCTACATACTTCCAGAGAGGAAACAGAAAGATGGTCACCCAAAGAGGCTCTGAACTCAGAGTGACACTGGACTTCTCACCAACACTGGAAGCTAGAAGGTATTGGAATGATACCTCACAATTCTGAAGGAAAACTCTTCCAAACTAGAATTTAAACCAAGACAGACTGTCAAATAAAGGAAAAGAAGGAAACAAATACATTTTTCAAAAATGCAAGACTTCAAAAAAAATCTCATACACTGTCTTTCAGCAAACCACTTTATCAAAACGAGAGTAATAAGAATCTTGGAGGAAGTTGGATTTAGGAAATGGACTTCTCTTAGAAGCAAAGAAAGTCCCCCTGATGACAAAGGAGTGTTCCAGGATGTCCCCCCCACCCCATATCTGTAATGAAGACTAGGTTGGAGCTTCAGCAAAGATTTGCTCTAGAGCATGACATTTAGAGAATACATAAAGTAACTCAAACAGAAGATGAGATAATTGGGTGAGAGTTTCAGGGTGAAATAGTGTTACATACTGAAATAGGAGAAAGGACAATTGCTAACTTCAAGAAAAACAGGTCTTGCAGAATAGGAAAAGTGATCGTTATATATGCTGATGCGTGTCTCAGCTGTGAATAGGATTTATGAAGTAATAACAATATAAACACTGAATGTTGACTGAACCAAAATTATGCTCTAACCATATTGGGAAGAAGCAAGAAGGCTGGGAATAGGAAGGAGAGAGACTGATTTCCCACAGGAAGGGGTCAGTGGGCTCTAAAATGCAAAAAGCACAAGAAATACATACAAGTTATTCAAGAGTAAGAGAGAGAAACATTAAAACCATCAGCTGAAGAATGGAAAGTAGTTTCCTCTGTAGGGCAAAAAGTGGGGTTTCCAGGTGGGCTGGGAATGATATTTTTGTGACACTAATGGATTGTTTGCATTTATAATTTTGGTTAAAAATGTAAATGGAAAAAAGCAATGTGATAGTTCTAAAACCAATTCTATAGTGAGTAAGAAATACAATATTTAAAAAAGATTGGATTTGAGTTTAACTCATTTCTGATTTGCCTTGACTGCTTTCTGTTTGGGGATAGCTATTTGGGATTGGGGGTGGGTTACCATTTATTTGCTTGATATAAGAATTTGGCTTTTTTCATAGATTAAAAAGTGAACTTGCCTAATAAACTATTTAAAATATATTCTAGGTGTGGCTTTAGCTGTTATTCTCTGTAACACCCGGCACATTAGTGACAATGTTTTCCTAGAAGCTGCAAAGGTAAATGTTTTAAATGTTTACTTTATAAGGGATGAATTATAAAGATGAATGGATCTTAAAATTAAAAGCAGAGAGCTCTAGACTTTGCCATACAAGTTTGAAGAACTCACATTAATACAGATACTCATGTCTATTTTTCATAGTAGCGGTTGTAATTATACCAAGCCCTGAATTGATAAAGTAGAATATGTCACTAAGTCTTGAAATCTAGTGATTTTGGTGAGCAGTTTTAATATCTGCAGTGGTGTAAGTGCATTTCTGCAAGAAATAAGGAGAATCATATGACCTGTGTTATTCTCCTTCCCAGCATTTTTCATTTTACTAGGTGCTTATTCTGTTATGTAAACAAACAAAAACAAAATTATGTTTTTCACTTCAGGCACTGACAAGCCAACTGACGGATAAAGAGCTCGCCCAAGGGAGACTTTACCCACCACTTGCTAATATTCAGGAAGTTTCTATTAACATTGCTATTAAAGTAAGTAACAATGTATACCTCTTCACATGAATTTTAAAGACTCTTTTTTATCCAAGGACTCCAAGTTCATTAGAGATAAATTTGAGACATTTAGAAGGGTGCAAAGAAGAAATTTTAGTTCACACACGTTCTTACCACCAGATATATATCACATCTCTTTGTGTATCTGGTTTGTTCTTACCACCAGATACACATCCCTGTGTTGGGTTTGTTACCGTCTTGCCTTCTTGCTTTGTAAAAAACGTACCTACAAATGTTGATGCACATAGTCACTTGTGCCTCTTTTTATAATTGGCTCCTCACTGCATTTTTTCCGGTTAACGTATTTTAAGTCTTTTCCATGTAAGTCAGCAGCTATTCTCATGTGTGATCATTAATGCTGCATGGTGTTTTCTTTGTTATTATAACTTGTTTCATCATTTATCTGTTTTGGGGCATTGAAGTTTTTAGTTTCGTGTTATTAGAAATAACACTGTAAGCCGGGCTCGATGGCTCAGCCTGTAATCCCGCGCCTTTGGGAGGCTGAGGTGAGTGGATTGCCTGAGCCCGCGGGTTCAAGACCTGCCTGGGCAGCGAGACCTCATCTCTACAATAAATCAAAAAATCAGCCGGGTGTGGTAGCGCATACCTGTAATTCCGGCTACTTGGAAGGCTGAGGTGGAAGGATCACTGGAGCCCAGCAGGTCAAGGCTGCGGTGGCCGGAAGCGGCCAAAAAAAAGAAATAACACTGTAGTGAACATCCTTATAGATAAATCTTTATGTTCATTTGTGATGGTTTTTCTTTGAGATAAATTGTAATCATAAGAATAAAAGGTTTTAAGATGCATAAGCCTTCTGGTACATATTGCCAAATAATCTCTTCAGGAAAAAAGTACCGATTTTATATTGCACCAATTAGATATGAGTGTATTTTTTTCCCACACTTTTGCTGATACTTAGAACTCTTTTAACCTTGCATATTTTGCAGATCAAAATTCTACTTCATCTTTATTTAAAGCATTTGTTTTATTTATTGGTGAAATTGACGACTTTTTTATATTTATTCAACAATTTTACTTCTCCTATGAACTGTCCATCGATGACCTTTACTCATTTCTATATCAGGATACTTATCTTTCTACTTTCTAGTATTAATTTGTAAGGGCTGTTTGTATATTACATGTAGTAAACTTTCATTTTGTTGGTAGTATAAGTATTTTCTCATTTGTTATTTATTTGTTTTAACATTATGGAATTATTTGACCTGCCACTTTTTAAAAGTTTTTAATGCAATTATCTGTTTTCTTTAGTTTTTAGATTCTTTCCTTACTTTTTATGAATATTAATGCCCTCTCTCACTCCAAAAACATACATATCTGCTTGCTTTTTCTAATATAAAACTTTTTAATCCCTCTGAGATTTTTTTTTTTTTGAGTTGGAGTCTCACTCTGTCACTCAGACAAGTGCAGTGGCTGCTTCCGGCCACTGCAGCCTCGACCTGCTGGGCTCTGGTGATCCACCTCAGCCTTCCAAGTAGCTGGAACTATAGGCGCGTGCTACCACGCCCGGCTAATTTTTGATTTATTGTAGAAATCAGGTCTCGCCAAGTTGCCTGGGCAGGTCTCGAACCCTCGGGCTCAGGCAATTCACTCACCTCGGCCTCCCAAAGCGCAGGATTACAGGCTGAGCCACCAAGCCCGGCCCCTCTGAGATTTTTTAAAAATTTATTGATGTGATGTGAGACAGGGAAATTTTTTTTTTTTTTTGAGTAGTTAACCAATTGCCCCAGCACCATTTATTGACTCATATCTGTTGTTTCCAGTTAATTGGGAATTGAATCTGTTATTGATGTCTATTGCTGATCATTTTTGTTTACTATTTGGCACTCTTTTAATTACTGTAATGTGTACAATGTGTGTTAACGTTTGGTACCTTATAGTTCCCATCATTATGCTTTTTCAGCATCTTGTCTGTTCTGAACTATTGTTCATTTGGACAAGTTTTTGTGTCTGCTTTTTAAATTTAAAAAAATCTGGAACTTTGTATAAAATTATTACACCTGTAAATTACATTGTTGAAATTGAATCTTTCAGTAGTATCTTTCTCCACTTAAGTTCTTTTAAAAAAAAAAAAAGTCAACATAGGCCAGGCATGGTGACTTAAGCCTGTAATCCCAGTACTTTGGGAGGCCGAGGTAAGAGGACTGCCTGAACCCACAGGTTCAAGACCAGCCTGGGCAACTTGGCGAGACCTGATCTCTACAATAAATCAAAAAATGAGCCGGGCCTGGTAGCATGCACCTGTAGTTCCAGCTACTTGGAAGGCTGAGGCAGAAGGATGACCTGAGCCCCGCAGGTCGAGGCTGCGGTGACCATGAGCATGCCTCTGCACTCCAGCTGGCGACAGAGTGAGACTCTGACTCAAAAAAAAAAAGTCAATATAATCTTGTTTTCTTCATCTGACTATTTTATTTATTATTATTAATTCATATTTTGTAGTAATGAGGGTCTCACTGTGTTGCCCAGGCTGGTCTTGAACTCCGGGGATTACAGGTGTGAACCACCACACCCAGCCCCCCAAGTATTTAAAAATTTTGTTATTCTATACAATAATAGTTTTTCTTTACATATATTTTCTTACTGATCATTTCTAATATGTAGGAAAGGTATTAATTTTTATAAATTACTTGATAACCAGTTTTTTGTTTTTTTGTTTTTTTTGAGTTGGAGTCTCACTCTGTCGCCCAGACTGGAGTACAGTGACTGCTCCCGGCCACTGCAGCCTCGACCTGCTAGGCTCCGGAGATCCTTCTGCCTCAGCCTTCCGAGTAACCGGAATTACAGGCGCGCGCTACCACGCCCGCCTGATGTTTTGATTTATTGTAGAGATGAGGTCTTGCTGCCCAGGCAGGTCTCGAACCCGC